TCTATACTTGTTCTTTCTGTAAGATCTCCAGTTGGAATCTGAGGTATTGTCCAGTGGGATTATATAAGCCAGTTGCCTCTGGGACGGGCTGTTGTGAGCTGTGGACTCTTGGAGGCATTGGAGCAAAGAGGAGCCAAGCAGGGATTTGGCAGATCTAACACACTGAGTTCTAATGGAACTTCAAAGTAAGGCTACCTGTGATGACCACCCTTGATATTTATCCCAAGGACAAATTCTGACCAGCATATATGCAGAATTTCCCCCTCTGCTTTATGAAGTGCCTGCAGTCTATATTCATTTAAATAAAAGGCTCTAGTGTATGCTGTTCAACAGGTTGGAATTGTGGTGTACTACTCTATCAAATACATCCTTCTCAGCTGGCTAAATCCTCAAGTACAGGCTCTAGTGCCCAAAAGTTGTGCTTGTTGACTTAATGCATAGTAACTATTGTGCCATTGATAAAATAATTACTTGTTCTATGAGTGATAGAAAGAATCTGGCAAACAGAACAAAAATGTATTGTAACTGTTATGTCACTGGAAGAAAGGATATTTGTAAAATGGTGGAACTAAGATTTTACATAATGATAGGCAAGGACATTCCTAAGTCCATAGATCATCATCAGTAATTACAGAATTCCTTTCCTTTTCCTGAATTACCACCTGTGAACCAATAAATTAATGGGGTATCTTTAATGTCTACTTTATACTGTCATTACTTAGTGGTTTTACATATGCTGAGTATTTTTATCTTTGTGCCATAGTTTTTTCTCTATCTTACTATGTATTTCACGAAGAAGCAGAAGCAAAGAACAGTTGAAAACAAACACATTCCTTTTATAACAAATACTTTTTTATGTATCATTGCACTTTTTAATTTACAAGCTTTTCAGCCCATATGATACCGAGATTCTTGGCTTTTATTCAGGCCTTGTGGCTCTAACTATATTCCTTTCAGAACAGCCCAAAACATAATGTGTCATTAACTGGCCAAATTGCAAGTAATATAAACCCATGATTTGTTAACCCTCTTGTCTCCTGACTATTGCATTTAATAATGTTCTAAACAAATACAAGTGAAGCTGTTGGTTATTCCATGGAAGCAATATTCTTTGAGATCTCTGTCAACTACTTTGACAGTCATAATGTTAGAGCAGACAGGAATTCTGCATTCCCAGCAAAGAGGAATTCCTCATTCTTGGACAATTTTGTAAGGAAACAGTAGAATGGAGCAGTTTGTCCTAACTGTTCTGTGTATGAATATCACTTTAAATTGAAATACATTGCTACACAGGTGTTAATTTTGTTGCTTTAGGCAAAAACTATGTGTTTGAAAGATTGTTTCAGTAAGTCTTTTTAGGAGCAAGTATTGTGATTTGCCAGTGTACAGAAATGTGTATTATTTGCCATCCTGATGACAGGATTTAGACTGTCAGTTGGTTAAGAATCATTTAGCACAGTCTTTGCATACTGCATTTCACTGCTGGGAAATTTTATGGAAGCTGCTGTATTTTGAAGAATTCATAGCACAAAAGTGACATTTCTGTCTTTGTAAAGTATCAGCTATAGGATGTACTTAGTAATGCTGCTTCACAAACAAAAGTATACCTGAACTCCCTTGATACTTTAGAAGAATCAGGAAAGTACTTAAGTTATGTAGGAAGTAAGGGAGGGAGAAATTATTTAACATGTCTTGAGGCCATTTGTTAAGCATTAACCTTTGATAAACAGTATGTTTATCAATGCAAGAAGAATCCACATCAAACCATTTGATAATACTTGTTTACTGTGCTCTTTGGCCACCCTGTCACTTGCTATTTTCTATGCTTTGTATATTTCTGTAGTTGAAACTCTGTTTTCTTTAAGCCTAATTAGACATCCTAGAATGATCTTCCAGAGACCCACCATAAATTTTTTCTCCTTACATCAATCTGAAATATTCCTTGTTTCAGTTTTAATCTGGGGTCTCTCATCTCCCCATCCTGTGCCACTGTGAAAAGCCTGGCTTAGTCTTCTTGATAACTCCCTCACAGGTACTCAGCATCCCATGCTGAATAAGCCTGTTTCCCTCAGGCTCTTCTCGTGGGGTATGCACTCTGATTACCTGACCGTCTTGATGGCCCTCCACTGAACTTGTTCCAGTTCTTCAGTGCCTTGTAGCAGGGGAGGGAGCAAAACTGGACACTGTCTTTTAGCCAGACCCTAGTAAATGCTGAATAAAGGGGAATAACCACCTCCCTTGATCTGCTGGCTTTACTCCTGTCAGTACAGCTCAGGATGCTGCCTGGGCACACTGCTGGCTCCCTTCAGCTTGCTGTCCACAAAGACCCCCAGGGCTTTTTCAGCACAGCTGCTTCCCAGTCACACAGCCCCTAGCCTGCATCCTTGCAAGGGGTGAATGACATGTATTCCTTCCCACCAGGAGAAGATGAAAAAGCAAGTGTGAAAAGATGTTCAAGAGTTTGTCTAATGTACTTACAGAAAGCTCCAATTCTGTGGTGATTAAATGGAGTCATGAAAAATCTTACAGGAGTTAATAGTTGGGTTAGCACTTTGCTATTTAGTACCAGTCAGTGCTAAGGGCTCTGCTGTCCAAAAAATTCAAAGCTAAAAGCAGATCAAACTAACCAGCTTTAGTAAGTAAATGGGCATTCAAGAGTGAAACAATTAGCGCAAGAAAGGTGGCTCCTTGTCTTTGTTCACTTAGGGGGTATTCTGTCATATTTCTTCTGAACAATGGATATTTATTCTCCGTTCTTTATCCTGTCCTCATTATTAGAGGGGTCCCCCATCTCTTATAGGTGGTTTTTCTTAGTACCCTCAGATGAAGCTTACACGATTTTCCAGCAATCCCAACTTCTGTCTGTCTTACACCAAAACTGTTGCTAAAGTAACAAACTCAGGAATGGTTTCAAAAGGTTACTGAGTGACAGGCATGGCTTTCATCACATCATTTACAAAGCCAGAGCACTTAAATCAAGGAAATACATAATTAAGAACTTCATGTCATATACTGTGTAGATGATACACAATATGGAAGAATCGTATCTCTTGTTGTAACCTGTGCCTAGTACAGTTCATTTGTGATTTTGAATTTAACATCTAACTTATGCTGAGGGGCTTTTAAATGACTAAATTTTTTTCCAAAGAATTTGCAATTGTTATTACTTGTCCAGAGTTACCTACTTGTAAATATAGTTCAACAAAGAGACTGTATACATTTTTTTTAAGGTAATTGGTTCCTAACACTTGCATACTCTGTGTGTTTCTGTTCCTAATGATTTACAATAAGGCAGTTATTAAAACTTCAACCAACATGACAGGACAAGTTTCCAAGCTTCCAAATTGTAAGGAATGAGTTGTTACTAGCCCCCCAGAAAGTACAAGTGCTAGTTTCAGTACAGGGAGAGGATGTACCACTGGGGTGGCAAGTCTTTGATGACAGTGTTGTCTTAGTTTGGCTAAAGCAAGTCATTAAACCATGCCCATATTTGATTGACTTCCCCTGGAACAAAGAGCGAGCCCTTGCCTGGCTCCTTCTGCCAGCAGAATGGTGGCAACGGCGACATGCATGTGTGTCAGTTGATATGTATGTTTGCAAAGAAAACATCTTTATGGGTCTAATACATACTGTAGTCTCAGCAATGACAGCAAAACCACAACAAACTGAAGATCATGTCAAAAGCTAAATTATTCAAAGTCCTTACACAAAAGAGGAGTGAGGAACTTCAAATGCCTGAGAGACAGAACTTACCTGAAGGATGTGGGCTCGAGGAAGGCCGCTGTTGGACCTCCTGAGAAGGTCACACCTGTGGTCTTGTTCCCAGCAGCACACAGAGAGCTTCAGCAACTTTGTACATGCAGTCCTGTGGACAGACAGATGTAAATGATTGAGTAAAAAATGTGGGGGGGATGCTGCAAGATCTTGCTGGTGACATTTTGAGGTTGCTCTGTTGCTATTGAAAGGCTGTGGAAATTGGGGAGGACCTGAGAAAGGGAAATACCATACTCATCTTCAGAAAGGGCAGGAAACCCTGGGAACTACAGGCTGATCAGATGTTGCTCCCTGGGAAAATTATGGATTTGGGGAAGAATTAAGTTTTGAAACCACTTGGAGCAGACAGTTAGCTTTGTCCCTTCGCAAAATATGTCCCAACCTCAATGATTCTGAGATTCTATGGAATATACTTCTTTAGAGGTTTTCAAAATGCAGTGCACAGCCCAAGACTGGCTTGCTCAGTCACTCTGCAAGTAAATCACACTTACACCATGTGAAAAGTGTAAGCTAGAAAATTTTTTCTTTTTTTATTTAAAATGCTTATGATTCTTATCTGCAAAGAATCTCTCAGACCTCTCCCAAGTGTTGGGTAATCGTCATTAGCCTTGTTTTGCACTTGACCTAATCAAGGATTGAGATTTAAAACTATGTAAGAGACACAAAGGTCTAGTGGGAGACTTAACTACAGAGAACACCATACATAAACCTGCCCTGAACTTCTTTGTCCCTGGTATTTGTCTGTTGACTGTTTTAAGTCATTATCTGCTCTGTTAATAATCATTGCTTCATGGTTTTCGGTTTTCTGAGGCCATTACAGTCCTTTCCCCTTCTCCGAGAAAACTCTTATTAGGACTGAGAAGTACTTTCACATTGGGTTGATTCCTTTTAAGCTGTACATAAACAGTTTGAGATCTAAATGCCTTATCCTTGGTTAGCTTAGCACAGGAAAGTGATTTGATCAGTATGGCCTTTTCCAAAGTGAAAGCTGCTGCTCAAATGTGCAGCAGAGTCAGAAGATACAAACAAAATAGTGATGTGCAAAAGAAAGAAATGGAAAAATTATTCCATGTTATTGAGTACAAAGTATCACTGGCACATTGTATGAAGTTCTCAGCTCTTTAAAATAAGGAGGCTCACAGAGAGGAGAAATACTAAGTAACAGGTCCACAATATGGGAAGATTAAAAACCCCAGGAGTATTTGCTGTGTCCTGTCTCGGTTAAGAAGAGGTGCAGAATATAAGGAATGGCACAAAAAGACAAGCAGTGGTGTCTCATTTGTCACTTCATGTTAGAGAAGTGAAAGTGCAACAGAAGGACAGAAAATATAAGATTTCTAAAAGGACATTCTTTGGTTTCATTGCCACTATGTTGAAGCCAAGAGCTTTGAAAGATTCAAAAAGGATTAGAGATGAGAACATCCACAGTTACTTTAAGATTAAAAGCTCCTGGAATATAAGATGTCATGTTCCAGAACATTACAAAAGTATAAAACAGGAGGACTTAGAAAGACATTTACCCTATAAGCAGGTTAATGTGGTTGTCCATTCTGAGTTATTTGGCTGCTGCTTCTGGAACATCTAGTACTGGGAACTCAAAGCCTGATACTAAACTCATAGTTTTTATGCTGCTGGATTTAGGCAAAAGTATGTAAGCTAAGCATTTCTCCTCCCTGTCCAGATGTAGTGTCTGTTCTACCACCTAAAAAAGTACAGCTGCCTAGCCTGACTAGATCTTTGACTACTGAAACCAGGAATTGCTGGAATTTCTTTTATATGTTTTATGTATTCTATATATATTCTTTCGATCGTCTCATATACTTACCAAACAGCACCAGGGCTCTTGGGTGATACCACCACATCCTGCTCCAGTTGTTACTGCCCCAGTAGCAGAACTGGCAAGCCTACACCAGTACCACAAAGAGGATGCTACTGAAAGCCCTCCTGTATTTCAGTGACGTGCCAGAAAAGGAACTGCAATGGCATGGCTATGGGCTAATGTTTTGTTTTGCTAAGTCTGCTAGAGAAGATTACAGAGGGGTAGGGCTGGACACACAAGTGATAGTTCCATAATCTGCTACAGAAGGATGCATCAGAGCTCACCTGCAGGATCCCAGAGTGTCTCAATTGATCCAAACTCTGAGCAGCCAAGTGCAAAAACGTTCTCTGGTGTATATTATTATCCTTGAATCACAAACAAAGAACCAGAAAGATGTGATGCCAGAATATATTATGTATAAGGGAGCTTTATAAGAAGGTTATTGAATCAAATCCTATCTTTTGATTGAGGAGAGCTTGCTGGCCAGCGTCTCACTGTGTGCTTTGTTTTACTCAGTTGCAGATCTGGGACACAGCAGGCCAGGAGAGGTTCCGCACTATCACCCAGAGTTACTACCGCAGCGCCAATGGAGCAATCCTGGCCTATGACATCAGCAAGAGAGGCTCCTTCCTGTCCATTCCTCGCTGGATCGAGGATGTAAGGAAGTATGCTGGTTCCAACATAGTACAGCTACTGATTGGTGAGTTAGAAGTATTAATACCAAGTGCCACAGGCTACCATACAATGTAATCAGTTTTAATACCTGTTTAAGATGGTTAGAAGTTTTATTTTTTAATTAAGATGTATGTAATAGATCCCACTGGACATTTTCCCTGTTTGGTTTTTTTTTATTAGAAAGTGCTGATTCATCAAAGCAGAAACGTTTTGCTTTGATTAACTTCCGTTAAGAAGTAGGCAGCTTTGTATCAGAAGCCAGCTTTGAATCCTTTGCTTCTCACTTAATGGAGAACTGGGCACGCAAGATTTGCAGGTTCTGAGGCGCAGCTGCTGGGGAGCTATCCTCATGATAAGGATCATAAGGTTTCCAGGGACCAGAGAGGCTCCATCACATCAAGCCAACATGTTTTGGCAAACTGGAACACCCACAAACTTCAGCAAATGGGAGATTTTGGAAGGACTTTGGGGCAGTCAGGGTTTGTCAGTTCTCTGCTTCCCAGCCGCAATGCTTCTGACTCGCACGCAGCTCTTGTGGCCTGGAAATCTGCTAAGACAACATCAGCACTATCCCAGATTTCCCTAGGTACCAGCAGGCTGCTGCTGTTGTCACAAAATGCTTTTAGCTTCCATTTCTAGCTCATTTTTCTTCTCTTAAGGTCTACAGCCACCACTCTTCAGTTACTGACTTTTTCTGTTCTCTGCCCGAGTCATACAGGAATAGAGGCTGGAAGGGGCTGAGGAGGCTATTCAGCCCAGCTCCTGCTGACAGCGGGGCTGATGTCAGGTTGGACAGGCCATGTTCAGCCAAACTTTGAAAATCTCCAAGAATGGCAGTTCTGCAGCTCTGAACAACCTGAGAACTTCCTGCTAAATACTGACTCTGACAGAAAATGATTCTGTTGTTTCTTCCAGGAAACAAGTCTGACCTAAGTGACCTTCGAGAGGTTCAGCTGGAAGAAGCTCAGAGTCTGGCTGAACACTATGATAATATCATCTGTGCCATAGAGACCTCTGCGAAAGACTCCAGCAATGTGGAGGAGGCTTTTGTGAAGATGGCTACAGAGCTCATGATGAGACATGGAGGCCCTATGTTCAGTGAGAAGAATACTGACAGCATCACGCTTGACAGCAAAGACGTTGCAGAAGGCTGGGGGTGTGGTTGCTGATATGAGCTAGGTGATATCCCTAACTTTATTGGAATTTAGATGGTGCTTCACCCTAATGCTGAGTAGCATGGTAGCCATATCCTCCTCCTCCTGTGAAACCAGCAGTTTTCTAGAAGTTAGACACAATCCTGTTTGCTTTGATTTCTTATTTTTAAAAAGTGACTCTTGAGAGGTAGTCCTAAAAGTCAAACCCTCTGAAAAACTTCACATCTGACCCCACCATCTCCTTTTCTGTAACCTTCACCCAAGTTACAAAAGTGGAAGAAACAACTTTGAACTGGTGATGTGGGGTAGGGAGGCAGATGGTTGGGGAAGAGGCTGATGCACACCCAGAGTTCTGAAGCATTTAGCATGGGACTCTTGGCAAAGGAGGTCACTTTTGGAATAGGCAGTCTTAACAGTGACTCTGTAAGTCCTCAGCACTCCACCAACCAACGACCAGAAAGCGCCAGTGTCTTTGATAAAGGTATTTCAAGCGTCAGAATTCCCAGCATTTTGATTACAGGACCAGAAAGCAGTCACTTGCTCTAGGGCATGTGAATTGCTGATTCGCACTGGGACAGGCCCAGGTGGGGAAGTCTTCTCTCAGGTTTTGTTAGAATTTTAAGTTATCAAGTTAACAAAAAGCAAGATCAGCCTGAGCAGCATCACAGAACTTGCTGTCAAAAAAGGACTGAACCAGTGTAGTTATTTTAAATACAGCCTTGGGGAGAGGGTAGATGCATTTCATTTGTTCTTGTTTGCACAGTGATAGCTCCCTTTTCCAAGTGAGTATCATTGAGGTTTTTCCCTCAGGCCCTTTAATTTCATTCCACAACTCAAGACCTGCGCCACTGGAAAGAGGAACTGGAGAAACCTTGAACCAACTGGTAGCCATTACCTCCTGCCATGTGCCTATTTGCTCATAAACAGGGTTCATTCTGGTCACACATTTGACATAATGTTACCAGAGTGTTTATTGCTTAAGTAGTGTAAGTGGATTTGATTTTTGGTTTGGATTTGGGTTTTGCTTTTTGGGTGTTTTTAAACCACTGCTTTACAAACAATCTTGGCATATAATGGAAAAGAAGACCTCTGAAGAGCTGAAAACTGCATGCATTGCAACTTCTTGGGTTTAAGAAACCAGCACCTTTGCAAGTAATTCCCTCCCAACTTTGCACTCAACTGCTCCCCTCTCCCCATCACAAGTTACCAATTGCTTTTCATTCCTTGAAAACACTCATCAGGAAGAATCTTTCACTTTTGATCAAAGGTCTACATTGTTAACTTAAATAGATTTAGTAATATAACTCCATATAGTTGTCTTTCAGATTCAGCTCTGTATTACATGTTGTAGGTGCAGGTGAGATACTGATGGCAGCAGTCCTCTCTGGACTTACACTCTCAAGCACCTTACAAAAATGGACTTGCAAAGAGAGCAGAAGCAGGATTATTTTAACTCTGTGGTTAAAGCAAAGGTGTTCAGAGTGACAAATGATTTTTGCAATCCTGATACTTTAAAGGAGCTCATTTTCAGAAAGCCCATACTTCAGGTGAAGTCACTTGTCCTGTCTGAAAATCTTGATCAAAAAGCACCTGGATTGGTTTGCTACTAGAGCTACATTAGTTTTTAGCCATTTAACACATCCAGTATCATGAAAATCAGGAAGACTTAAGAAAGGGCTAATCAATCAATGGGCTAATTTCAATACTGTTCATCTTCCTACAGAAAATACTAAACCATTCTCTGGTCTTTGTGGTTTCTTAAACTATGAGGTAGCTAATTTAGGCATAATGTATGCTTTATAGCCTGCTTGCTTCTAATCTAAGGGGTTAGTTTTCAAGTTTTATAGTTGTAAGAGTGAAGGGGCCTGAAATTTTTCACTTAGTATAGTTTTCACAATTCTGATGTTTTATACAGAAGGGCAGGTTGAGCTGCAGTACTTAGGAGTATTTTTGATAGTTTTCCAGGACATTCCTAGCTCTCCTACATCCAAAGACAACAGGCAGTGAGTGTCCAGCAGTAGCTAGACACTGAAAATGAGAATTATCCATGCCCTAGATTTGTTAGTGATTAGCAAACCCTGTATTCTGCTCCCAGGAGAAACTGTGAAGACAGTCCAAGCTAAAACTCAGTCCTTGATGACTGCTTTTCCTGCTGGTTAGCTGGTCCTGAAGATCCAGAATATTAGCAAGCATTTGACTTTGTCATGCCATATTCTAATTTACATCTGTAGGCAACAGTCCTGCAGGTCAGCATGCTTGAACATAGACCCTCAGATAAGCTCAGCCTCCCACTATTTGCAGGATTAGTGCCAAATTATTTAAGCCATGCTGATAAAGATTCACATGCATTGAAGAACGGTACTGCTACTACTCAGACTGAAATCAGTAGTTTACATAATAACTCATCTTACAACTGGAGCAAGATTCAAAATAAACGTAAATCCTGCTTGCAGTGCAGTCAATGAACGATTGTGCTTTTACAGTAGATGCAGAACTGAGGAACTGTTGATCCACTTCCTTAGTTTTCAGGTTTAATAGACAAGTAGAATTACACCAAGCACTATAGTTTTCCTTACCATTTGCCCCCATATATTCCCTTAAGCTAGTCTTGAAGGCTGAGACTGTCTACAGGTTAGTCTGTTTCAGTCAGAAAACATGAGATACAGCATCAGTGATTTGTTTGCTGTATTTCTGAGTGAAGGCACCAATTCAGATTAGGTTTCATTTTGCTGTAGAAAACTAAGACTATGGCTTTAAGTCAGCTTTGTCTCCTAACTCTTGGCTCTTCTATGTTGTGACGAGTGCAATACAAGTTTGCATGCCCGACCTAACGGAACAAAAGGGAACAATGAAACAGCCTGAAGACTTGGTTTATTTTTTCAGGTTAACAGCAGACATGAATGACAGTGCTTTGGCTGTCAGTAGGAAAAAGCTTATTTCAGTTACCAAAGCCTTACAATACTCACTAGGCTGATAGCTTCTTGGCCAGAAATAAACTAGTAAATGTAACTTGGAGCTTTTCACTCTCCTTCTGAAGACTTCTATTAAATATGTAATTCAAGTGTTAGGAAGATAGTCCTGTCGGTTTAATTCCGTTAATCCTCTTGAAACCAAAAGTATACCTGGGTGAGGAGAGTAGCAATAAACCTGGGATTTACGGGTAAAAACCTCTGTTTCAAACCTTAGGGTACAAATGCATGCTGCCATACAGCAAGTGAATAATTCAGTAGTGCACAAGCAGAGGTCACAGCATCAACATTTGCCAAGAAACTGGGTTACTGGCAGTTGAACATTAACAAGACTAGGGTGCAGTAATTGCTTTTAAGCAGATCTCCTTGGCTGACCATGTATTTGCATTAGTATTTATCATTTATTTTTGGCAATGCCCAAAGTGTGCGAAATATTACAAAGACACAGAAGGGAACATTAATCCCTGCCTTGTAACACTTAGGAGTGGAATGCAGAGGCAAATACCAAACTGAAATAATCAGCAGAATGTGGTTCCCAGGAGCATTCTGCATTGATTTGATTTAAACTAATTTTATCTGCAGTACTCATCCAGTCCATCATCAAGGATGGAACTTGCACACATATCTAGAATTATGTAAATATAACACCAAATAAACCTCAGCCCAGAAACCTGCTAACATTTACTTGGCAAAACAAAATGAACAGAGCCTAAGTCCTAATGATTTTATCACTCTCACTGCAGTGGAAAGCAGGTCCCTTTTGCAGGGGGTAGAACTACAAAACTAAATTTGAAGAATAGGAGCTGACCATCACATGCACTCTACCTGTGTTGCTGCAGTAGTACTTTACAGTATGGATACACACACAGTAACACCCTTGAATAACATTAAAGCCTTTCTGTCATCTGCCCCAGTATACCCTGTCCCACTAAGATTTACACCTCCATTACTGAATCTCATAGCCCCAGCCAGTTGACCATTTGAATGTCTTTTGCCATCTCATGCCAATCCTTAAGGAACTGGGAGGTAATATTATTAGTTTCTCTTCATGGGATTGTTTTACTCAAATAATGAGAGTCTCTTTAAATCAAGATAAATTTGTGTGTTATATCATGAGTAGAAATGGTTTTATCTTCACCTGTCCTGCTTCCAAAACTTTTCTATGTTAACAGACCACTGAATTTTACCCTGTTGCATTATTCTGGGTAAACAGTGTGCTGGAGGAAAATGATGTGAGAACAATACATACTTTGTGAAACTGGAAAATAAAGTTACTCTCCTTTTGGTGTCTTCCAGCCTTGGAGGGTGTTCAGTTTAACCCCTGTCAGTCATTCTCAGAAACAAACCAGGTTACAGGTAGAGTGTGCACCCAGTGAACAGGAAAAATCCAAAGCAACAGGAACTCCTTTGTGGAGAGGTAGTTCCCAGGTGACCCAGTTTGCCTCAGCAGCTAGTGATGACCACATAGCTTGTATTCTTGCCCTTGTGGTACAAGAAATGTTAAAGAGCAACAGATCCAAGGGCATGCATGTGTAGTTCTTGGTGAAATTGAAAGGAAACAAAGCCCAAAGTTTAGGGTAATTAAGTGGTTAGGGTGATCAGCCTTTCTCAAACGATACCAGAATGTTTTATCAACTAAAAGGCATTCCAGATTTACAGATTGGGCTATAAAAGATGACACATTGTTACTGCAGATCAATGGTTACAGTTGTATGAAGTATAGTGACTTCAGAGTCACAAAGCAGAGTCCTTTCTAAGGGCTGTCCTCAGATCTGACAGCTCTTTTCCATGCTGTGAGGAAATACTGCCTCAGTTTTATTTTTGTAGTACCATTTGGTGCTGAACATCCCACTGAGATTTCAGTTAGAGAACTAGCGTTCTGGGTACCTTAGTTTTTACTGGCCAGGTAATGTTAGATTTGTTTTAACTCTACTGAATTAGGTTATAGAGCTATTTGAAGTAGAAAAACAATCTTAGATGGAAGCATTTAACTGCAGTCCCTGCTGCTTACTTTAGGAAAAAACTATTCCACAAGTAGATGTTGTGATTTCCAGCACAAGCTTAG